TATTCCTGTAAAAAATTTTAATATATAATGAACGATTTAATTATTAAATAAAAATATGTTACATGATGGATATAGGTCAATCGTGAAACATGAAATCAATAAGCTTTCGGTCAAGTTGATCACTGTTTTATGAATACTAATCATATTTAAATAAAATTGAATATACTCATTTTCAAATAATACCAATTATTTAATTTAAAAAAAAACTTTAGACCCATTCTTATTTGTTTGAAAAAAAGTTTTAAAAATTGTTCAGGACTCTGCAATTACGTACAGTAGGGCTGCCACGAGAGTACGGGGATATTTTGACCAAAAACAAGACAGCATTGAAGCAAAACTTTCAAAAGAAGATTATTAAAAGAATATCTTACATCAGAATAAAATAAGAATTAGGGAAAAAAAATTAAATAAAAAAGGTAGTTAAGTGCTGAAATTTTTATCATTCATAGTTGCCGAGTATGAGTATATGAAATCTAAGGAGACCCTAAAAGCTGAATGATCATATTATTCTCGTCGAGATCATTGAAAAAGGAAAAGTGTTTTGATACGACACACACATAGTATAATATAAGCCAAACAATATGAGTCATTATATATACATGCAGGCTGGAGTCAGCGAGACCTTACAGTTTAGAATTAGTAGACGACGAGACACGAACTATGCACTGGAAATAAAGACGCAGATTACACAAGTCGTAGAAAGGAAAAAAAAAATATATTACTTGGTAGACATCAAAAATTAAACACGCATGTATAAAAAGCTTGAAAACAAATGCAAGCTGACGAGTTACTTTTGCTATATGTATGTGGATACAATTTGTGAGAAATATTGGTTCATCCTCTGCTGTTTATTAATAAATAATAATAATAATTATTATAGACTTTATTAAAAATTGGGAAAAGATTGTTGCTCATATAATTATGATGGTCTCTGCGTTACATTTTTTTCAGAAAAAGGTGGACTCAAGCCGAACCATCGTGTTGGCACATACCATGTATAGTAATTTCAAGTTATTAGTTTCTAGCTCAAGATATACGTTCACTCGCTAATGTTTGGGGCTGAAAAATCTGTAAACAAACATCATCTGAAACTCAAATTTATTGTATATAGTCGCAGACCCTCGGTATAATCTTTAAGTGCGTTTCCCGTGTATGATTTTAGGGTAATTGTAACATTAATACAATACCATTGATTATTTAATTTAGTTTTTTCTTTGATTCAAGAAAATATTTAAAAAGCCAGTGCGAGGAGTTTTAAAGTTAATTACGTAATTAATGAAGGAGAGTAAACAATTTTAAAGTAATATGATAATTTCAATGAATTTCATAACTTTACTTGTAATAAAAAAAATCGGTCCGTTTGTACCGTATCGAGGGTTTTCAGAATTTTTCGTGATCGATGGATGAATAAACAATAAAAAAAAAAGAAAAAAAAAAGTGTAACACTTACTTGAACAACGTGTGCACGAAGGAACAGTCATTTTACAATATTGATAACTTTTTAAAAACTATTTCCAATTTTTTGTTGTGACGACTCTGCACCCAACTTACGTTCTGCGGCGCTACGAATTATAGCTCGTAATGTATCAGTTGATTTTTCCCCACTCTGTACACTAAATTTTATATATATAGAGACCACTGGTGACTCCGATTGTTAAAGTAAACTCTAGTATATATAACTGTGAAATCGAGTGCCTTCTCTCGGCTCATAAATCGTAAACATATACTTTTATGTACCGATAAGTCCACGTACAGTTAATGGCACGTAAAATCAAGAAATGGCACCAAACCTAAAGGGAGGAGAGTGGGGATACATCTTCGCGCCTTGGATTTAGGTCGTGAAAGCAAACTAGTTTTTTTCTTATAGACAATTTTTTTGTGCTAATGATTTTTATAGTATTTATACTTGGCATAACTAATATTTTCAGTTATTCAACAGTATTTTTTGGTTTTCTCATTAAAAGTGAGAAGATTTCTTTAGAAAATTAAGTACTAATATTTAAAGTTTATCATGTACAGCTTAAACCACCGGGTAACAACAAAGTATGTAATTAATTTAATACAATTTTGTTCCATTATTGTCACGTTGAATAAAACGCAGATAAAGACTGTGAATGTTTTTTTGTAATTTGAAAAAATTTAAATAAAATAAAATACAACAAAAGTTTTGGTTTAACTTGATAATTAAGAAATCTGTATATATCGTTGGCGTACTGTCGTCAATTGAAATAAAGTATATTTATTCACCACACTATGCGTGACATCATTCCAGAAAGTTGATTTCTATATGAAATTAAAAACAAGTTTTTCGTAAGACACGTTATGATATAGTAAATAATGTAGTTATTATTATTAAAGTTGATATGAAGACAAAAAAGAAGGCTTATTTTTTATACTTGAACGTAATTTATTGAAATGAATGGTAAGTTGGTAAGTTGAAGTGTCCTTTTAACTTGACAATTTTCAACATCACGAGTTTTTAATCAAAAAGGTCTGCCATGGATCGAGCATGATGTCCTCTGTACCATTATCAGATGATTTCTATCTCTCTTCCTCTTGTGCATCACCTCCTTAGATAGTCTTAATCTAAAATAGCGCTTCAAGTTCATATTGCGTATTTGACCGAAAATTAAATAACTATAACTCTAATAGTGCTAATTATCGTAACCATATTAGATAAAACAAGATTGATTGATTAGCACTATCTGTAAAATTCCCATGAATTTCAATCAGAATAGTAAAAGCTCTTTTTTATTACTATGGAATTTGTTAGTTTTTTTTTTTTTTTTTTTTTTTTTTTTTTTTTTTTTTTTTTTTTTTTTTTTTTTTT